AAATTAACATTAAAATTATTTATATGCATCATTAAAATAAAAAAAACATGTTTTGAAATATATAAAGTGCACCAAACTTGACTCAGTCCATTCAACAATTCTAAATGGACAATTATGTAACTCATCAATTAATTATTTGAAAGGATAATTTGTCAATTAAATACTGAAAAAAATAAACAATTCATTAATGAGGCAAGAATCTCTCTCTCTCTCTCTCTCTCTCTCTCTCTCTCTCTCTCTCTCTCTCTCTCTCTCTCTCTCTCTCTCTCTCTCTCTCTCTCTCTCTCTCTCTCTCTCTCTCTCTCTCTCTCTCTCTCTCTCTCTCTCTCTCTCTCTCTCTCTCTCTCTCTCTCTCTCTCTCTCTCTCTCTCTCTCTCTCTCTCTCTCTCTCTCTCTCTCTCTCTCTCTCTCTCTCTCTCTCTCTCTCTCTCTCTCGAAGCCCCACTCTAAGGGAGTTTGCAGTGTATTAGTGAGTCATATATTGTACAACCACAGTCATAAAGTTTTCAATCAGTAGTTTTATTTCAGTATGTATTTTTCCAGTATCACAAAAAATGTAATTTTATATGGTTAAAACCATCTAGCTTATGTGCACTTTTTAAAACACTGCCCAGCAAACATTCGGACGTTTAATGACAGTTGAACGGTCACAACTGTAAAATACCTGAAATTAAGAAAAATTAACATGACATCTACTACATTTTCCTTGCCCGGACTCGAACCTGGATTCTCCGGGGCGAGAGTCACCCGCTCTCCCAGCTGAGCTATGCCAGCAACTACTGAACATCAGACTTTTTTATATAGATAGAGGGTAAAGTGCGGGGTAAACTAACCAATCAGAGGACAGACAAGATCTGCCACAGGCCACGCCTCCAGAGTGCCAAAAGCCCTTACAGCCGAGCGAGCAGGAGTCAGAAACCGAGCGCGCAGAGAGGCTGCCGAGCGCGCACAGAGGCTGCCGCGCGCGCACGTTTTCCTCTGCCGTGTGCTCGTTGACAACGCGCGCACGCAGGTTTGTCACTTGTGCACATCCTTGTGCGCTCACAGACACAGTTTGCTCCCTCTCAGTGCACAAATGACCTCTCGCCATGTATATTTTCGCTCGCGAGTCCCGTTCACACGCGCGCGAGTCCCGTTCACACGCGCGCTGCCATGTATATTTGCGCTCGCGAGTCCCGTTCACACGCGCGCTGTGGACCCAATGCGCGTGCACGGGTTGTGGCACGCTTTAAACGCCATAGATGGATAGATGAGCTGATGGGCACAGATCCGACCGCTAAGGGGACAATCTCAACGTTATATGCAAGTATTCAGAATGTGGCTTCCCCCTCCCTGGACAACGTAAGAAGGAAATGGGAGGAAGAATTGGGACTGGACATTTCAGAGGTTGACTGGGGAGGGGCAGTAGATCTAGTACACTCTGCTTCTGTATGTATAAGACATGGATTGATACAGTTTAAGGTGTTACATAGACTCCACTTGTCAAAGGAGAAACTGGCAAGAATGTACCGGGGGTCAACAGGTGCCAGCCAACTTATGCCATATGTTTTGGTCTTGTCCCAGGCTGAAAGACTTTTGGACTAACATCTTTAGAACGTTCTCACTCATTTTTAACGAAGACATGGAACCAATGCCTCTGACAGCCATCTTTGGTGTGGCACCGAGGGAAACTCGGCTAACAGCCTCTCAGAGGAAGGCAATAGCATTTACCTCATTGTTGGCCAGGATACTTATTCTATTTAACTGGATAAAGGCAACACCGCCATCCCACAAACGCTGGTTGGAAGAAGTGATGGCACACCTCAAATTAGAACATCTCAGATTCACGATTCAGGGCAACACCAAAAAATTCTTTAAGGTCTGGCAGCCTTTCATTTCTTGTTTTGAAGATAAGTTTCCGTCTACTCCATAACTGGCAACTTCTTCCCCCCCCCCCCCCCCCCCCTTATTTTTTATTTAAATTTTTTGTCTGGGTATAGTTTTATTTTGCATTGTGTTGTAGGATTTGAGTTTGAGCTTTTTTGTGTGAATGATATGCTTTTTGAAAACTTAATAAAAACACTTTGATTATTATTTATTCCAGTGAGGAAACAGAGTTCAAGGACTTTGGGTTGGGCTTTCCAATCTCTGGGGCTGAGGTCACTGAGGTTGTGAAAAAGTTCCTCAGTGGCAAGGCTCTTCTAAATCTGAGACCATGGTCTTGAATTGAAAAAAGGTAGAATGCCTTCTGCAGGTCAGGAACAAGATCATGTCTCAAGTGAAGGACTTTAAGTATCTCAGGGTCTTGTTCGTGAGTGAGGGGAAAATGGAGCATGAGATTGAGTCAATCTACGTTTCTACCCTTACCAATGGTCATGAGCTTTGGGTAGTGACTGAAAGAATGAGATTGCGGATACAAACGAGCAAAATTACCTTTTTCCACAGGGTGTGTAGGGTTAACCACATACTAGAATCATCACTGTTGCTATTCAGTTGCAGATTCTGAAAATGACCGAGCAGAATAATCTATGAAACTTATATCATCGATCTAAATTCATACACCAACCTGTTTGGTCTATTATTAATCTAAAGAATAACGGTTAATTTAAGGTAATTAAATTTAATAGCAAACTTTTATTTTTGAATCAAAAGCTAGGAATCTTTGCTTTTCAGCAACCACAAATAATTATACCTTTCTGTGTTTCATTTGAATAATGAGGCAAGTTTAAAAATGAAGAATTTTATTACTAACAATTTTTAAACTTTACAATTTGAACGACAATTATAAATGACAATTCATGGACGACAATTTAATGACAAATTTTAACAGCTTTGATATTAAACTTGTTTTAAAAGGCAAACCTGTGGCTGGATGAAAGCTAAATTGGAAATACGAGTTTGGAAGCATTTCTTTCAGAGAGAGGAAAGCGTTCTGGGCTGGAAATGATGTTTTGCAGCTACCTAAGTTGTTTACTTAGAGAAAACAGCATCAAACACATTCCTGTGTGCTACCTCACCCAAACAGGAGACCCTCTTTGTGGATCCGGAGATCAGGGAGGATGGTGTCCACCTCTTGGTACTCGGTCCGGTAGAGAAGACGCGAGTGAACCGATCCTCTGGTCCAGAGATGTCGCCGGGTACACAGTGTCGAGCGTTTGGCTTAGCTCTGAAGAAGTTTCTCGTCTTAACTTAACTCAGAAATAATAACTCTGGAAGGAGTTTTTCGTCAGCTGGTTACAGTTTACGTTTATTCTTAGCTATTCTTATCAGCGTGACAAAACAGCTTGGCAGAGGATCCGGGCGGCCGACCTGTCTCCTCAGGATGGTGTTGGTTCAAGAACTGACTTGAAAGCTGGTGGTGGTTAGTTTACAAAGACCTCAGAACACACCCACTCTCAGCAAGAAAGCTTTGGTCATGCGTCAAAAACATGTGTTGGCAGTTATTGTTTACTCTGGATAAACTCTGTGTTAGATGGATAAGGTGGAGGCTGGCCTTCTGATTTGCTGAGCACACATTACTGATCATCAACCATAATCATTATTAATCATTAAAACACCCAAAGCATAATAATTCATTTCAGTAATTAAAATACATTTATACTGAAACAAGTGATTATTTATGATGATTATAATAAATAGTAATAAAGTCAAAGTTTATTAATATTATTATTTAATTATTATCGTGAACTTGAAGTGTCCTTCTTTTGGGACGGAACAGCAGCAGATAATCAGATATATTCTTCAGACATCATAACTCTTGGGTTAATCTGTGGATTTAAAAGTTACTGTCTGACCCAGCTTGATCCAGCTGGGTAAATGTGACCTTTGCCACAAATTAGAGAACCTTGATGATGCTACAGGGTGGCTGGGTTCTCCCTTAGAAATAGGGTTTGAAGCTCAGCCATCCGGAAGGGGATAGGAGTAGACTTGCTGCTCCTCCACATCAAGAGGAGCCAGTTGAGTTGGCTCGGGCATCTGGTCAGGATGTCTCCTGAACGGCTCCCTGGTGAGGGTTTCTGGGCACATCCAACTGGGAGGAGACCCATTGGAAGACCCAGGACAGGGCTTATGTATCTTGGCTGGCAGGGAACGCCTTAGGGTTCCCCCAGATGAGCTGGCCCAAATGGCTGGGGAGAGGGTTAGGCTGCTGCTCCAGTGGCCCGACACTGGATAAGCAGCTGAAAATGGATGGATGGATGGATGGATAAATGATGTTAGTAAATGAAAATAAACAAACACCCAAAAGCAAGGCAAACTGCATGAATCGACAGGAGTCATTAGTTTGCTTAGTGTCCAAACACTTTCAGATAAGTGCCAAGAGTTGAGGAAAGCAAAAACCTCTTCTTCTTTGGAAGATTTTTAAAAATGTTGTGAACATTAGTATTATTCCTTAATGTCTATCACAAGCAACACACCCGACACCCCTGTTGAAAATAATGGAAATTTTCAATTTCCATTATTTTCAGCAAGTCCGAAACTTGTACTGAAACCAGCCACTAGGGGGCGGTTTAGGTTTATTTTTGCTCACCCTTTACCCTTTTAAAAATGTTTATCATTGTTATTAATTTACTCACGATTTTGTTCACATTGCCAATAAATTACAGTTCTTGGGATTTCCATTATTTTCAAGATTTAACCAAAAACAACAAAACTCAGCTCCACCCTTTGTGGATGTAACTCAGAAATGACAGGGCTGTAAACGATAATGTGTTTACATAAAAGCTCTGAGGATTTTGCTCTCATGCGCACAACTAAAACAATCCTTTAAAAAGTATTATTTGCTAGGTGGACTATTTCTACTAGTATTATATTTGTATAACCTACGTGATAAAACTGTAATGCCGAGTTATTTGCGTTTCCAGAGCTTTCATTTAATTGGTGACTTTCTTTACTTTGAATTGTCTGGCTGTTACTGTTTTTTAAACTAACCCCCTTGAGGAGCTGTTTTCTGCTTCCAACCATTTCCTGGTTCTGACTCCGATGCCATGTTCCCACCTCTCTCTCCTGACTCGGGAGGAGCGGAGAGGAGGCTGTGAGGTAATGTAGTCCGCAGGAGGGGGTGGCAAAGGAAAGAGAGAAGGGATATAGGACTGGCAGCAAGCGGAGGTCTGGCTGCAGACTCACCGGGATCCCTGTCGCCGCCTCGCGCTCTCCACACGCATCAGGTCAGTAAAACTGAGCGGATAAAAAACGCGCCAGAAGCCGCGCATGGCTGCGAGGTGCATCTGTGCTGGGCTCACCGGTTCCTTTAAGGATCTGGTCCTCTGCTGCAGCTCGTAGGCTGAAGACTCGGATGAAGCGGGTTCCACTCTATTCTATTCTGTTTTATTGTATTGTTGTTGGTGTTTTAGTCTTGAGCTGCAGCTGGGTGCTCGCAAATAAACATCCGTGCAAGCTGCGAGCACCATCAGCTCCACTCCTGAACGCAGCATGCGGCGCGCCTTCTGGGTACAAACCCGGGGTCTGTGGTCGGTTCGGCACAAGCTGCCGATGATACTCTCCCTCCGTCCACACCTGCTCCTCTTCATCATCATCTGAACAGGTGAAGGCGGATCCTTTCGCCTCCTTCTCCGCCACATCGCATGGAAAGGTGTGAGTGAGCAGACTGGGAGTAGGAGGAGGCTGTTTCATTGAAAATCATTGATGGGCAGGAAGGGGAGGCCGGTCGGGTCCTCCGCAGTGCCGTCACCAACAAGCAGCAGCTGCACACCAGCTGCTGATGGATGATGGAGAGCCTGAATTATTTATAGCAGCAGATTGATCAGTTTGATGGTGCTGAGAGGGGCTGCCTGTGCTTTCTAAGCTGCTATTTCCACGTTTGTGCATCAGGGAGATACAATTTCAGATCAATGGTGTGTGTGTGTGTGTGCGCGCGCGTGTTGGGCATAAAACATTCTTAAATACTGACATACCGTATTAACGATTTTCATTTAATACAGTGTGAACAGCTCCATTCTGACTAAAGATAATACATTGGCAACTATGTACCCAGACAGCATCAGTATGTTCCTATGAAGGTTTTAAACAGTTCAAATTTTCACAATAAAGTGGTGCACATTTTATTCAGAAAGATATATTTTTAATATATATATATATATATATATATATATATATATATATATATATATATATATATAATATAATATATATTTAATATATATATGTATATATATATATGTATATATATATATATTTTTAAAGTGATGCCAAGAGCACATTTTTTTTGTTTTCGCATTTCTTTGTAATTACACTATCAGTAAATTAAAAAAGCTGCCTGCCACTAAAGCTGAGACATCAGCAACAAGAGCGATCAGGAGATCCTTTTTAGTTAACCTCCAAGCTTTTGTTTGGTGGACGTTCTTAAATTCCTCATCGCTATTCATATGACCTCATAAACTGAAGATAACTGATAAGAGGAAAAAAATCTTATTTATTTAATTTTTTTACAGAAATGGTAAAAAAAATATTCAGCCTAAATAAAAAATGACCCAAAAAAAGAAAAATAGTTCTATCTGCTAATATATTTACTTTGGTGGAACATGACCAGCAGGGAAAAAAGGAAAACATGAAAATAAGTTAAATATGGCGACAAACAGCCTAATCATTTTGTCAAATGTTTTGCACGCACCTTTGACATTATGACATTTTAACATAATGAGGAAGCATGGGAAGCAACTAATTAAAAAATAACAGTAATCTTCATAAAAGCATTGGCTCTAGTATTTTTAAAGGGCTTTAGTGAAAAAGCCATGAAGAATCATGAAAGCAGTTTAAACAGTCCCAGTTTGGCGAAACATAGATCAATTAATAATAAATAAGGACAGACGAGCTAACAGCTAGTCATTTTGGAGCCAGGCTTTAAAACAAATACAATATCAAAAACTTTATAATTTTAAATACTTCATTCCAGGTGTTACATTGTTTTATGACTTTCCCTTCACTCAAGCATAATTATTATAAAAATCTAATTCTGGACCAAACAACCATATATTTCTATAAAGATGACCATCTGAGGTTTGTGTGAGCTGCTGATGTTTAGGAGGCATCAGAATCACTGTGTAACTGGACCCACCCACACTGCTGTCAGCTCATCTGATGGTTCAGGACTTAAGTCTCTGTTTCTTAAAGCTGAGGCTGTTCAAACAACTATTCACAATTCATGACCCAACCACAGAAACTCTGTCAGTAATGTGACCACTAGATGTCAGCAGACATGTCAAACATTTGAATCTTTCCTCTGTTATGCTCATCCAGGCAGATAATCATGTGGATCGTTGTTCAGAATTCACCCCTCACACCTTCCTGTTGTTAATGGGAGCTTTTACAGTTTAATTAATCTCACACATTTTTGTTCTTAGCCTCTTTTCCCTCAACTGAAATTTCTGTTTATTTACAGACTTCCTGCTGATTGAATGATGCTTTTTCACCATTGGCCGCCCTCCTGCTGGTTGCGAGAGCTCGGTTCAGCTGTTCCGTTGTTGTTCTGTATCGAGTTGTGTTATGTGTAAGACCAACAGCACTAAACGATGGTTCCTCATCCCTAAACTGTTGCTGTGTTTTGGTAACACCTGGTAAACTGAGAAAACCCCTGGGGTTTCTCATTGCAGGGACCAGCGTAGCCCAGCAGACACTCATTCATCCTCTCGTTTTCATGCAGGGCAGCTGCAGCTCTGATCCAGACCAGCAACCTTTTAGTGAAACGGAACTTTCTAGGAATTATCCACAAATGCATCGTGAAAAGCATTTAGATTTCCCTTAGCAAATTTCTAAATGTCAGCAGTTTAGAATGAACAAGTTTAGCATTAGCAAAAGTTCTCACAAACCTTTGAGCAGATTTTGATGAAAGTGTGACAAAGTAATCATCGGATAAATCTTAACAACTGATTACATTTTACAGTCAACTTCACTTAAGAGGGCTGTCAAATTTAGCCAAACCTTTTAAAAGAGGCCAAAATGTGATGTTAAAGATGCTATCCGAAGTTTTCCCCTTTCAGTAATTATGTATGATTTTTCAGAAATCCATAAAAGTGTTTGTCTTATAATGTAATCCAAAAGGTTTCAAATGAAGGTAACTGGACTTCTTTGGTTTCCTGAAGACGTTTCGCTTCTATACATCTTTTTTTTATCTTTCGCCCGATGTCCCATAGAGCTCAGTGCAATATGACCCGAGCGTCAGTCAGCACTAACCACTAGCATTAGGTTACCACTTACGTCAAGTGGTGCTCGCTGCAGAACCACAAAGGCGGAGCTGCACCAGAAGGTGGAGCTGCTCCAGAGTCAGCCCCACCCATTCCAGAATCAGCCCCGCCCATTCCTTCAGAGTCAGTCCAATTCCTTCCAGTTGTCAGACTTGATAGCATTCTGGAACCAAAGAGGGTGTTATAGCTAAAAAATGCAAGATTGAGGACGGAGCTGAGAAGTGAATTGAACAGTTTTTGTAAAGGTTCCATATAATTAAAAATCTAACTTTTGGAACTTTTTACCATGTTATATTGTCATTTCCTCATAAGAAACACGCCAAAGCCATTTTTGGCCTCATTCATGCATTTTCTTCCCATCTCAGCTTCAATTTGGTCTCATCCCCCGAAGCGGGTCTGGTCTTGGTTCTCAAATCTGGATATTCTGTGAATTTTCTGACAAATTATTTCTGAAATGACTTCTACTGAGACACCGCCGGAAAAACCATACATCCCATCTACAAAGACACACTGGATGCCACAATTACATGTAACGCCACTTAACTTTTATCAGATGTAGTGGTGTAGTGGTTATGGAGTCAGGTTGACATGCAGTTTTGCGCAGGTTCGCCTCCCAGTAGCAGAAGTATTAGGTAGTTTACAACCCCTTTTCTTCATTTCTAGCTACACTTGCCAGTACTATGTTTACAATAATTTACTGGTCTACCGTTTAACATATAATGACTAATGTGTTTATTTATTTATTTGTTTATTTAACCAGTGTGAGTCCATTTGTGAGCAGAGTTTCAACTAAAATGCTGTTTAGGAACGACCAAATTCAAAGAACTTTTAGAGACATAAATATTTTGCTGAAAATAAACATTACAACTAAAATATAAACGTACAGACGTTAATCACAGAGCCACTAGATGATGCCATCAGATAAAAGAAATCATCTGGACAGTGAGTTTAAAGCCTGATTTATACTTCTCCATCAGCTTCACGAGACACACACAAACTGAACTTCTGCGCAGGCAGCGAAGTGTTGCAAAACAATTCCCCGCCAGGACAACTGAGGGCATGGTGCTCTTCTGTGGTAATCCTGCCACCAACACTCATATATCCGGTCTACGATAATTTATTTTCTAATGTGTTTGTATATTTCAGAGACTTTAACATGGACAAATTTATTCTTTATTCTCCTCCACCTCTTCATGCGGTCACCACCTCTAAACCCACGTTTCCCGTCATTTCCGTCCACGTTTGCTTCGTGTTTGTTACTCCTTCAGTCATGGGTGAATAAACGTTCATATTTTCAGACTTTTTCACGCGATGCGTCCTGTAATCTGTTCTGGGTCTGCCGCTAAATATATTTATATGTTTTAATGGAGCTGTTAACAAATTTACAGAAAGCGGTGTCCTGACCAATCACAAGCTTGCAGTCTCCATCACCCATTATGAGCCTGTCGGAGAGCCTTTGCGCCAATGCACAATGGTATTGCATGTCTCCGCACCGACGCAGTTGGAGAAGTATAGATCAGGCTTAACTATCTAGATTCTGGCACGTTGTCTCATTCACAAACTCTAAGAACTACACGTTTATTAAAAGTTTGATGTTTACTGCTGGAGTCAACCTGTTTGTCTCACGATGAAACCACTGAATGAGTTTTAATTAGAGTTTCTAAAAACAATAAAGTCCAACTGATTAGGTTCTAGAATAAACCCAATTCAAGATGGCCGCCACAGCTAACCTTCCTTAGCAAACACAAACAGACTATAATTCAGGTATTTAACAGACACTCAGCTATAAAATAAAGTGTTAGTACTCCGTTGTTCAAGATTTCGCAATAATGTTACTTCCAGAAAATGACAAACAACTTTAATCACTTCATTTTTAACACTAGATTATCTAATTTAGAACGTACCTTTGATGACTGATAGGGCTTTAAATAGCATTGCGTTACATTTAAAGGACACAGAATTAATTT